ATAAAAATTAGTTATGAACGAGACTGAAAAATAGTTCTTCATGATTACGTATAAGGGTGAATTACGGCGGGATGCAGGGGTGGAGGGAATAGCAATTAGAAGAAGAGAATTTTTACGGTACTCTCTATAAAAGAAGGGTATCGGTACTGTTGATGATGTGTGACTTACGTGTCATTATTTTAAATCCAAGTCATTTATAATTTTTTTATTTATTTAAAATTTACATCCACGTCAGATAAATGGTTAATATGAAGTTCACATTTTTTAATTTGTTTTTCGGAATCTTTCTGGCTTCGTGTTTCTTCCCTCTCTTCCTGGTTCTTTCACGCCGACAATCTGGCCCTGTAGGCCGGCGAGTGAGACGGCAAAGGCGGAGAGTGCGATTGCAGGCGAGTCGTGGAGGAGGAGCATGGCGGAGAGGGAGAGGACATCAAAGCGGCCGTGGAAAGTGACGGTGGCACCGGGGGTGACAGAGGGTTGACGGAGAGTGACGTTGGTTATGCATTCGGGTTGGCGAAGGCGGAGAGTGCGATTGCCGGCGAGTCATAGAGGAGGAGCGTGACGGAGAGGGAGAAGACATAAAAGCGGCCGTGGAAAGTGACGGTAGCGCTGGGGTGACATAGGGTTGACGGAGAGTGACGTTGGTGACGGAGGGTTATTCATTCGGGAAATTCAATTGATGACGTTTAGGTTAGCATTACTCTTACACGATAAATGCCACAAAAAAAAAACGTACGAACTTTTTCTACTGAATCACGGGAAAGTTCTTTTTGGCAGGGGAGAGGTGAGAGTAGAGGAGGGAGACGGAGGGGAGGAGGAGAACGATAGAGATCAACAGTACACGAAAACAAGGGTTACTATGGTATAATTATAAAAATATTAATAAAAACTTAAAAATAAATAATATAAAAATTTAAATACAAAATAATTCTTATTTAAAAAGTTGATATGATATTTAAATGATGTGTACATACACATCATATACAGTACCAAAATCTCTTATTTAGTGGGGTTACAGTAGCAACCCCTTAAACAAAGGATCTGTAAACTTTTACACTTACAAGTCAGAAAGGGCCTTCCCCATCGTTTTGATTAATTAAAATTGTAGCTGATTAAGAAAACGTCATTTTCTTCTTTTTGGTTGGGTTTTAAAATGTCATTTCTATATATAAAATGAAACAGGCAGATTTTCAATGGAGGCTTAACCATTTTAACCAACAAATCAAATCAAATGATGTTATAAGAATATAAAAGTTAATTTTTTAATATATTAATAAGTATCCCATGCATTAATTGCATGGGTATTTTTTAAATTAATTAATCAAATCAATATTTTTAAAACTAAAATATCTCCTCACCGAAAAGTTAAAGATTCATCTCTCTGAACTAGATCCAACTCCTAATTACATGATTATTATTATTATTATTATTATTATATGAATCTACTTATTCAACTTTATTATATTTTATTTATTTAGATTTTGTGTAATATTAGAGTTGGTTCACCAATAATTTAATAATGTTAGGTTTGAAATTACAGTTGTTATATTATGTCATCCATTTACATATATACTTTTTGCGTAATGGAATTTGGATGAAGCTAGGTGGAGCTAGTGCAGTGACTGCCGTGATTAAAGAACACATACAAACAAAAGACAGATAAAATTAGCCTTAGAAGAAGCCTTATTCCTCACTACTTTTGACAGATAAATTTACACTTAGAATGAGAGTCCCCCACTAGGTGATTAAGAAAACCATGATAGAATGAATCTAAATTCATGTTCTCCTTCCCTACCCCATAAATAGAAAGGACCCTTGATAGAAAGGAAAGGACCATTAACTTGAGGACAAAATTAATGAATAAGCAAAGCACTACATTTACTTTCTCACAATCTCCTCTGTTTTCCAATATTCATTACCCATAGTTAGGGTGTTCCACTAAATTAGGTCGCCTAATAAGCTTTATTTCTTAAATAGATTCCCAAATATTAAAAAACACTAACTTATACTGTCCCGTTCTTTTTTTAGTCTTAACCCATATGCTGGCAATCAAAACCTAAATATATATATACAGCAGTTTCTTTTTAGACCTTTTGAAAGAACCATGGAGAGAAAAAAAATAATAATAATAAACGATGGATGAACACTTTGGGTTGAAATTGATTAGGTTAGATAGTTTGGACATTAATTCTTTTCTCCTAGTATGCTTCGGATCTAAAATAATTTGGCAAAAATGTTGCCCCGGCTTGTTGGAATTATTGCTTTAAGAAGCAAGGAGGGCAAGAAATACACGAATTGAGTTTTTTTTTTTTTTTAAACACTTTATTATAAAAATAGACAATATCTTTATTTTTCTCTAGGTTTGAAAATAAACCGGTTTCAAACTCTAAATTTTTTTTTTCATTTTTTTTTATGAGTGGATCTTTAATTTTTTTTTTTTTTTAATCTCAAACGTGTGGCTTAGCGATAGAAATTGATCCGCTTAAACAAGGTCAGGAGTTTGAATCCTGCATTATATATACAGTCGCGTTAAATACAGTATATCTTGATTAAGAGTTAAAAGATTAATTTCTCATTATACTATAATTTAGTTAAGGAATTATTTTTTCCGGTAGATATTATGTTATTTAATCTATATATATTTTCCTAATTGATGCCAATTTTTAGCTCCATTTCGAGGTGTAAGATATCTACAAGATTTTGCAAGTCAGGGTAATGACCCTGAAAATGAGAAAGAATTGTTCAATCTTCGTCATGTGTCTTTAAAGAATGTGATCGAGAGAATATTTGGTATTTTTAAATCAAGGTTCACAAATTTTAAGTCAGCACCTCCATTTTTATTTAAGACACACATAACTTTCTACGCAAAGAATGTCGTTAATGAAGATCATACTTTTTAGCCTATTATTCAAACCTAGAAGCAAGAACGAAAAGACGCTAATGCTTGGAGGACTAGTATAGCTATGAATATATGGGTGAATGCTATTTAAAAGGATAAGATATTATAGAGAATTATTATTATTATTATTTATCTAGACATTATTATTTTTTATTATTTTTGTCTTTGACTCTTTTTAAATTTGAATGTATGAAATTTTTTTTTGAAATCTTATCCAATGTCAAAAATCCACAAAAATTCTACAAAAATCTACAAAATCCCACATAATCCATTAAAATATTGATTTAAAAGTCTTGCAGAATCCATTAAAATCCTGATTTTAAGTCTTGTAAAATCTTAAAAGTCATGAAAATCCTGCAAAGTCTTTTAAAATCCGTAGGATTTTTTTTAACCAAAAAAGTCCTTTAAAATCCTAATCCAATACACCCACCTTAGTGAATTACGTGTAACCATCAGACAAATTCTTTCACTTAATAGTTTATAACTATCAGGGGATAACACATATATAACTAAGATAGATATATGACAATTTATGGATATACAAGTGATATATACATGTACAAAATTTGTAGGAACAACTTAAATATTATACAAGTATATACGTATAAACAGTAATTCAAAAATTATAATATATAAACTTAGATTGTCGGTCAATAATTAATAACTACAAAATTATCTACTTTGAGATAGTCCAAAATTAGCACTACCAATCTCGGTAGAAATAATTTTCTCACTTCACGTTTGACATTATTCAAATCACGTCTGACATCATTTTAATTTTAATAATTCTTTCTTCTCATACTTGATACCACTAATCATGTGCTTGACATGAGCTAAGATAGAGAACTTTCTAATTGAAATTGTGTACGACACTATGAAGGCGCGTTCAGCGTAATGGTGAAATATGCTCGTACAAATTTACAAAAATGGCCCAAACCACAAGAAAATCAAAAGATACCAAACATGCAACACTACATTTCATATATAGACATTTCAAGCAACTCAAATCCAACCAGAACTACAACATGCAACATCATGTTCTCAAAATCACCAAAATTTTCACATTGAAAAATCAAGAACCCAAACCAACTTCAAAATTCATACAATTCAACAACACAATTGCAGTCATTTAGTAATCATTTCATGCAACACAATTCAACAATCAACAAACAAATAAATTTTAGTTTCCCTTACCTCGAGATCAAAGTGAATTGAGGAAGAAGAGGAAGAAGAAAGACGTCTCCGAACTAGCTTAGCAACGAAACAACTACGATGATAAATCTTCAGTTGGGCCTTCAAATCACCACTCCGAATTGGAACAATGAACTTCTATAACTCTTGAAAAATTGGAAAAGGAAGAAGAAGAACTTCAAAACTTATCTCATTACTATCTCTCTAAAGTTCTATAAGAAATGAAATTATCAAGCTCAAGTCTCAAAATAAGTCTTATATATTCTTTTTTTCGTGATCAAACCCTGTCCAGTAAAAACCTCTAAACCACTTAAACTCAAGAAAATTCCTTAAGTTCTCAGAATTTATCAACCACCAATACCTAATAACACCATCACATATAATTATTATTAAAAAGAAAATAATTAATAAAACTTACAGTGTTACACTATGCATCTTATTTAATAAATTTATCTTGATTTTGTAGATTCAATGAGTTTTAATTAATAAAATAATAATAATACATATTTAACAATTCATATAACAATTTTATATAATATTTTTCTGCCCATTTTATAAATCATATTATTTATTACATTTAATAATAATTATTAATAACTAGAATGTAAATATATATATATATATATAATTAATATTATACAACTATCAATTCGTTGGGATTTTGTAGATTTTTGTAGAATTTTTGTGGATTTTTGACATTGGATAAGATTTCAAAAAAAAATTTCATACATTCAAATTTAAAAAGAGTCAAAGACAAAAATAATAAAAAATAATAATGTCTAGATAAATAATAATAATAATAATTCTCTATAATATCTTATCCTTTTAAATAGCATTCACCCATATATTCATAGCTATACTAGTCCTCCAAGCATTAGCGTCTTTTCGTTCTTGCTTCTAGGTTCTGTATCAAGTAAATATATCCGATTTTAATAAGTGCCACGAAATTTAGAAAAGATTATTTAAATTAAAAAATAATAATAATTGGGGTTGAGAAGAAGGTAAGGGCCGAAGACTCGTTCATCTCTCATTTCAATTCTCAAGTGCTGAAAAAAAGGTACCTTTTCTGGATCCGTAATTTCTGTTCTTCTTTTTCGCATTTTCTCTTCCGCTCTGTTTCCTATCCATATAAGCTTCGTTTTTCTCCTTTCCTTTCAAACCAAATTATAGGGTTCCAGATGTTCATCGCCGATTTCAACGAACCAATTGCATCACACTTAAATTCATTCATTTCAAGACGGGATTCATCATAAAAGATTTGATCTTTATCGGTCCCCTTCCATACACTTTGATTTAAAGAGAAACGACATAAAAAAAAAATTTGTAATTATAATTTCACGGTTACGTTACGAGTGAATAATCCTGATTATATAATTTAATTAAGCGCTGAAAATTATTTGTAATAGATTTGTGGTCTTCAAGAGATGGATTCTTGTTGCTATCTTTGCAAAAGAAAAGGAATTGGGTGTTTGCTACTGCGTTAACATGTGTATGAAGTTCAAGGAGTGACTATTAATCTAATATTGTTTGTAATAATAATATATTCATGTTCTTTTGCTTTTTTACATATTTAGCTTTTAACAGAAACAGATATGATTTTGTTGGAATGATAGTAGAATGGAAGATGTGGCTATGATTTAATTCTAGAATGGCAGAAGAATTAGGATTCTCCAGAGTCAATCTGTCAATGAAACTTGTGTAGCAAGCTGGTGGGTTGTTGATAGGAGGTGATTGGGATAGTTTTATGGTGAGAGATTTGTGGCTGACTGATTGGGTTCTTGGGACAGTATCAGCAGGATTGGTGTTTCGGGTTTATGAATTCTGGGGTGGTGAATAGGAAGAATCAGAATGGGCTTTGCTGTTTTGATTGAGTGAATGAATATGTAGTGATGCCTTCCAAAAGGAATTGGATCTAGATAGGCATAGAAGAAGAGGACTTTGAATGCTGCCTGAAAGTGTTGAAAGGAATGAGACATGTTGCTGCATCTTATCTCATTCGACCTCCTAGATGTGCTGTCTCCCCTGCTTGAGACCCAAGTTTCTTAGTTGTAGGATACTCCAAAGTGCTCCTTAGTCAAGGACAACTTGGAATGCGTGGCTCTATCCTTGCCTGATGCAAGAATTCTCTCATTTGTATCTCTGTTCTGTCTTCAGCACCTGTCTACCGCACATTAGCTAAACCTAGGCTCCATCCGTGCAAATCATATTGTCTGATCATCCGTGCAAGCTGCAAACTACTCAAAATACACCATGAAATGGAAGCTAATTCAATCAGAGAAAATTGAACGATTAAGTTCCATTCAGAAGAATGTATAACCCACCCTCACCATCTTAATAGTTAATAGTGTCAGCAGTTGTATGGATCTCTAAACTATTCGATCAGACAGCATTGTGTGGCTATTGCTAGCCTTAACCAACCCTTGTTTCTTGTTTCCTTATATTTTTCACCATTATTTGCTTTGTTATAAGTGTCACACGTTCACTGACTCAATTCTCCTTATTGGTAGTTTATTTTTGTTGCATGCGTCCTTGTTGCATAAACTGTTCAATGTGTTGGGGTTGATCATATCATTCTAGTGGAAAGACCCTGAAACCATTTTCTGAACTTTGGATGTACTATAATATGATTCTGTAATAAATTTTCCTGTGGCTCTTCTGGAAAATTTCAAGTATAGGGGGGGTGATATGGAAGTGATCATATTCTATCCAACATTATTAGTGCTTTTATTTTTTTATTTAGTGTTGTCTCAAGGTCATCCTATATCATGTCTGAGAATACTGATCTAATGGTTAGCTAATTTAATGATTTTCTTTTACATATGCATTTTATTACTTATTTATGATATGATTGGTATTGTGTGAGAGAGTGAGATCGAGATATGCTAAAACTGAGGTTCGCCAGCAATGCACACAAAGACATGAAACACATTCTATGATTTATAAATTTATTGTCGCTGACAAAAGGAATAGTGATGATAATGATAGTAATTGAGTGGGAAGAAATGAAACACCTAACACACAATTATGTTGGATACATCTGATTCTCTAGATGATCTCTCAAAACGATTTTTTTACTTGTAGGAAATAGTGGAAAGTTATATGGATAGCAAATCACCGAGCAAGAAGGCATCTGAGGAGCTGGCACGTGAGTTGCTTATTGCTATCTCTGATTCTTTACCAGAAAAAATTCTGGATTCAGATCCTGTGCCTGAAAGCAAGGTAGCAGATGGCTTTGCGACACCAAACAGTGATTGGGACGACAAGTTTAGGTCTGAATTGATTTCCATCTCATATGTTGAATTTCCTGATGTCGAAATCTGATGCATTACAAGGGAGTCTAGACTCTGTTAGTAACATATACTGCACTGCTGGTTGTTTATGTGGTTGAATTTCCGCTGCGCCAATTGTTATGACTTGGTTATACTATGTCAGCTATCTTGCAACATGTAGATACTTTCACCAGTCACATTATTAGTTTTGTTCTAAAAATGGCACTTATAAATAGTTTTCTTTTATGTCTTGGTTCATAAAAATTCAAACTGGAGAATGTTAATGGCATGTGATAAAATAACACTAAAATCTTAGATTCATTGTGCGGTTGAGAGGTTTTAGTGTTGGCTAAACCAGAACGATAGAACATCATTAAAAAGGGTTTGGATTCATAAATGGGTATCAGTTGCAACTTACAACCCTCCCATGTCAAATGCCCCTCATATTAGTGTTATTTTGCTAGAACATAATTGTCTCAAAAGATATTGATTTCTCATTAAAAAGAAAAACATATATGAATTTCATATCAAATTTGAACTTTACCTTAAATATGGAACTTAAGGAAGTATTTAATGCATGTTTATTGTGACTTAAAATTTGCAAAAATGTATTCAGCCTGTAACACAACGATAGTAGTTGTGTATGAGCCCTGTTTGGATAATACATTTTGCACAATACGTTTTTTGCAAATTTCAATTATGTTAGGCGAAATGAAAACAATTAAGTTGCCTCTAACGTAACGCACCCGTTTTGTTCCTAAAAAGCAACACCCCGAACCCTGGAACTGTGGTAAATCGTAATACATGCAATGCCATTTTTTTTCTTCTTTCTATTAGTAGAGCAATAACTCGCAAGATATTTTTAATATTATCCTAATTTATATATATTATTTGTGCAAATGTTTTAATATAGATAATCAATAAAAAATTTACCCTGTCGCCTAATCATCATATTCATTAATATGATACGATAGCAAGGTGAATTCCTAGTAAAAAAAAATACTCTTCACTAACAAATTAAACATGAATTAAATTAAAGTAGATGCAAAAATATTCATGTATATTTAATGAGATAAAATCTAGGATACTGAATGCTTCTGACTCCAACTAAATAATCTCCATGGTTATAGAGAAAAAGAAATAAAAAAAATATGACTAGTTTAATTTTCCATGAAGTACCCATGAAAATGAGTCCAACATTAATATGATTGACGTCAAAAAAAAAAAAAACAACACTTCAGTTGGGTGCAGTTTTCTAGGCCGATAGTATTTAAATTAAATATAAAGATAGAAAAGCAGAAATAATTGCTTGGAGCACCAAGACTCAACTACGAAACTACTGTACAACTTATGAGCAAACGTAATAAAAATATTGAGTATTAGGCATGTTCAATTCGTAAACATGATGATGCAACCAAGTGAATGCAATTCAAGTAGTTGTTACCGTCCAATCCAACAACCTTGATGTTACAATGGTCTTTTTGGTTATTATATATTATTTTATTAAGTAATCCTTATTTATAATTAATGACTATCTTTAATTCCTTATTTTATTTATTTAAACTAATATTTTAGCATGTGTAATATATATACATATTTATTATATATAATTAAAATTTATAATAAATTATATATATACATAAATACTATGTTTAAATATATAAATTATATTTAAGTATATGTAAATATTTTAAAATATATAAATTATATTTTAAATTTCTGATAAATAATTTGTATTATAATAAAATTTATTTTTATTTATTAATAAATTATTTAAAATATTAATATTTTATTTATAAATAATTATGATAAATTAAAATCTAACTAGATAAGAAATTAAAAAAAAAATTTACAAACATTCTTATTAAAGAAAAATTTCTAAAAATATTCTCGTACGAGATAGGTATTTATGTTCAATATATAAAAGTTAATATAAAAAAGTATAATTAAATAAACTATATAATCTTAAAAAATAGAATTAATCTCTAGTTATTAAATACTCTCACCTTTCCTATTTAAAAAAATAGTATACATTTATTAATTATTATGAAATAAGTATAAAAAAATACAACAAATAACTTGGTAACTATTTTATCAAAAACAAGAAGAAAAAAATATAGCTTTTAATTTTTTTTAACTATGTAATTTTATAGGACATTCAAAAAAGGAATGGAGGAGGTTGTAGATATACAAAGGCCGAGTATACATTATGATGAGGTGGAGAAATACATCTCTTCATTTTAATTAAATTATTTATATATTTTTTGTTTCACACTAATATTCTGGTCAAAAATTATTTTCATCAAAAATCAAACTCGAATACTATCTGAACGATTTAACTTTAAGTTTAACATATTAATTACTTGCACCCAAATCTTGTATTTTGTATCCTTAATCTTATATATTAAAGTCATTGATAATTATTTTCGACATCTACATTTTGTTTTTAGTAAATATGATAATAGTTATTATTAGTTTTATTTTCTTTTAAAAAATTATTCTCATTTAATCAAGTCTTGGATCTACACCAAATAATGTCTTGAATCAAAACTAAAAGTTGTTAAATAACCTCCTCATACATATTTAGAATTTGCTATTATACACTCATTTATTTGTTAAAAAAAGTGTAGTAATAAATTGATTATAAATTTAATTTGTACACTTAAAATATTATTTTGAACCTATGCCAACTCTTGTTAAATATTAATTTTTTTTATAAATAAAAATTTAGATTAGGACAAGACAAAATTATAACTCAAGTCATACTTAATAGGAGTAAAAAAAATTAACTAGTTGTACCACTTTCGTGGGACTAATTAAATATTAATTTTAATCAACTCCTATATGTTAAACATGAATCTCTAATGAACTCTTGTTAAACTAATTGTGAGGTGAATTTGAGATATCAATTATAAAAAACTTTAAATAACATGAACCTATACTAACTTTTGTTAAATATTAATTTACTTTTTTTATAAATAAAAATTTAGGTTAGGACAATATATAATTATGACTTAAGTCATAGCTAATAGGAACAAAATATTTCAACCAGCTGTATCTCTTTCATGGAACTAGTTAAACATTAATTCTAATCAACCCTTATTAAACACAAGATACGAAACTATTTTTAGGAAAATTTTTTCAATAAAAGAGTTTGTAGGAATTTTTTTATTTAATTTAATTTTTATTTATTATAATTATTTGTAAATTAAATATTAATATATTAAAATAAAAATAATTTTTTTGTTACAATAAAAATTATTTATAATAAATTTAAAAATATTATGAAACTATAACTTTATTTGATTTTAGATTTGACAAGAAAAATAGTAAAAAGAAATGGAAGTTAAAATCTGCTAAAATTATTTTGTTACAAAATATTTTTTTAAAAAAAATATTTCCATTAAAAAAAACTATTTTTCTCAAAATTATGTTTGGTTGAATTTCACTTTTAAAGAGAAAGCCCAAAACAAATTGGATAAAAGTTTTACCTTATTTTAATACCATTACTTTAAAGACAAATATTAAAATATGTAAAAAATAATTAACTATATATTATTTATAATATAATGCATGCCAGCTTTTCAATAAGAACTATCCACGTCCATAACGTACCATGAACAACAAACAAAATATTGCTTAAATTATAATATGTTAACGTTAAACGACTGACTCTTAAGTAGTATTATTCCTCGATATATCATTTGTTAATTTCAAAAACAAAGTAAAATATTTAATTTTTCATTCTTTTCATTCATATTTGAACTAACTCGGTTTCTTGTTTGAATTAATCAACCAATAAAGGTGTAAGCAAAAACATTGAACTGAACTGACAACGTCTGGAAGAGTTAGACAAGTTATACAAGATATGTATATTATTTAAATACCCGATTTAATTAATTATAATTTGATTGTTAACAATAGTCAAATCTGTAATATTATTGAACCAAGTATTTCGGCATATCAAATTATTAAGAAATTAAGTTCAGAACACGTCTCCTGCACGTTCTCGTTTCCTTATTTGAGTTATTTTTTTTTCAACACTGGGTTATAAATAACTTGTTAAGAATAATCACGCATACGTATACGAGTGCAGAAAGAAAAAAATATCTTTTAAGAGAAAGAAATTCATACTTTCATGTAAACAAGGACGAATTCTAATAGTATTTAAGAAAGAAACCTCTAAGAATAAATACTATGATATTGTTGGGCTTACTCGAAGATTCTGGGCTGATTTGCAGATCAAACAACTCGAAAAGCACACTCATGAGGTTCAAGGAAAGTATCAAAGGCTTAAGTTATCTGTACTCGAAATATACTCGAATCAATGAGCCAAATCGATTTTTATTTATTATAATTATTTGTAAATTAAATATTAATATATTAAAATAAAAATAATTTTTTTGTTACAATAAAAATTATTTATAATAAATTTAAAAATATTATGAAACTATAACTTTATTTGATTTTAGATTTGACAAGAAAAATAGTAAAAAGAAATGGAAGTTAAAATCTGCTAAAATTATTTTGTTACAAAATATTTTTTTAAAAAAAATATTTCCATTAAAAAAAACTATTTTTCTCAAAATTATGTTTGGTTGAATTTCACTTTTAAAGAGAAAGCCCAAAACAAATTGGATAAAAGTTTTACCTTATTTTAATACCATTACTTTAAAGACAAATATTAAAATATGTAAAAAATAATTAACTATATATTATTTATAATATAATGCATGCCAGCTTTTCAATAAGAACTATCCACGTCCATAACGTACCATGAACAACAAACAAAATATTGCTTAAATTATAATATGTTAACGTTAAACGACTGACTCTTAAGTAGTATTATTCCTCGATATATCATTTGTTAATTTCAAAAACAAAGTAAAATATTTAATTTTTCATTCTTTTCATTCATATTTGAACTAACTCGGTTTCTTGTTTGAATTAATCAACCAATAAAGGTGTAAGCAAAAACATTGAACTGAACTGACAACGTCTGGAAGAGTTAGACAAGTTATACAAGATATGTATATTATTTAAATACCCGATTTAATTAATTATAATTTGATTGTTAACAATAGTCAAATCTGTAATATTATTGAACCAAGTATTTCGGCATATCAAATTATTAAGAAATTAAGTTCAGAACACGTCTCCTGCACGTTCTCGTTTCCTTATTTGAGTTATTTTTTTTTCAACACTGGGTTATAAATAACTTGTTAAGAATAATCACGCATACGTATACGAGTGCAGAAAGAAAAAAATATCTTTTAAGAGAAAGAAATTCATACTTTCATGTAAACAAGGACGAATTCTAA